GCGCCGTGCACGAGTTCTTCGAGTACGTCTGGTCGCGCGACACGACGTTTCACTTTGTGCCCTTTTGCATCTTCGACACGGCGACGCTGCTCGTGTCGGCCGTGCTGCACGACGAGGCCGGCACCCTGCCGCGCAAGGACGAGGTCACAAAGGCCATCGACCTGGCGCTGCACACGCTCAAGAGGCTCACGACCGCCACCGAGACGGCCAAGACGCCCTACGACATCCTCCGCCGGCTCTCGAGCAAGCTGCCGCGCGCCCACGGCGCCCTCCGGGGTGCGGACGCCAAGCAGCGCAAGAAGCTCAAGGTTCTCGAGGCGCCGCTGGCCGTGCCGCCTGCGCAGCAGCACCAGCCTGCCGTCGCGGGCTTTACGTACGGTACCGACCCCAATCATTTCCCGGGGTACATGTACCCGCCCTCGGAGGATTCAGGCATCGGCAACGGCGGCACCGGGTCCAACAATACGCACTCGCCTGCCACGGCCTCGAGCTCGGATGGGTCCGGCCTCGCCACGGTGTACCCCAGTGCGAACGGCAACGGGCACATCCACCAGCAGCAGCAGCAGCAGCAGCAGCCTCACCAGATGAACGGACCTCCCCAGGTTGGGCTTCCGCAGGTCGGACCTCCGCAAGTCGTGCCGGGGCAGTATGCCGACTCGTGGGCTATGCCCAACGTCGAGCTGCCAGCCCAGCCGGCGGGCATGCCGATGCAGGATATGGGCTACGGCATGATCACGGATGCCGAGCTGGCAAACCTTGGAGATCTGGGAACCATGTGGCACTGGCAGGGCCTCAACCTGGATTTCACCGGGAACACAATGGTGTAGTGTGTTTGAGGGGCGCAGGCAGGTTTTGATTTGTGAGTGTAAAGTGTCTTGGGCGCGTTGTCTGTTTGTTCATCTGATTATTTTCAAAAGCTGTGTGATGCCTGTAAACACGTCTCTTTCCGAGTCAGGGTTTACAGCCGGGTAGGACAACAAGCTGGAGGCAGGCTTGAGAATGATGTTTCTTTTTTTTTTTTTTTTCGGATTTCGTTCTTCCTCAGAGCTGGGAGAGTCCCTTTTAAGTGTGAAAGACTTCGCATGCAGATCACAAGCCTGAGCCGCAGCTGAAGGGGGTATCCATGCCCTGCTCGTGCCACGGAAGTCAACCAATTTGAAGCTCAAGTTATTATCACAGCATGGTGCTTCGTGAAGAAAGAAACAATTACCTCATAAATTGCCCGTTCAATACTGAGGTACTCATGTAGGGACTGTTCCTTAGTACCACGTCGCCCAATTGCAACAAGTCAGACAACTGCTGATTCAAACGCTACCAGTGGCATTATGTGCGCGACAAATGAAAAAGGAAGCGCGTTTTTCTCATGACAAAATGTCGAAGAATTCTATTCCAACGTTTTCGCTGGTAGTTGTTTGTCTTTGATTTACGCCGGACCACTGAACATTAACAGGAGATAGTTCTTTGAATCTCACAGAGAACGACAAAGGACAACGGCTTAAAGACGAGCAATGAATGACCAGTCAGATATGCGGTACCCTCGAATCGACCTTGTTTTCGTTGCCGTGCCGCTAAGTTGAAACTAATGGTACCAGGAGGGACACTCGTGGGCTTGCTTGCGGATGACTGGGGCTGAGGGGAGTCGCACTCGTGTACTTCAAATCGGTACTTGAAGGCATTCCGTTGCAGCTGAGGCTAGACATCATGTTCGCAAGACAATACTCAGAAAACCGCTGTATAGTGTATCCGCTCGCTATGAATCAAAGTCTTCCCAATCTTCCAAGGGGTATCATGGACTCCCGAGAAACACCAAAAAAAGTACCTATCCTGAATAGAATCCGTCAACCTCAACATGTGGGGGGAGAGGAAAAATCAAAAGTCCCGTCTTAAGGCATCATTCAAACCGACGCAGCCGCGGTTTCGGCGTCCTCCCGCTGCGCCCTCCTAGCAGCATTGGCCTCCTCTCTCTCGTCAGCGGCAATTTTCATGGCCTGAATGGCTGACTTGCGCCGCGCGTCCACGTCTTCCTTTTGGATATACCGGCGCAACGCCTCAGACGCCTTGATCATATTGTCAATGCTGATCGCATGGTTGGTCATCTGATGGTTGAGATAGGTGTACGCGGCCGTCGAGGAGTCGCATTGCAGGATCTGCGTCTCATTGAGCTTGAGCAATGCAACTGCCACCTGGAATAAGAAGAGACTGCCTTCCTCCATGCAAAGCACCACGTCCCAGACACGAAACAGGGCCTCGGCCGATAGACAGTCAGTGAAAACGGAGAGGAACCATTGAAAGCTCATGATCTGCAGATCAACGCCGAGGTAATCAAGATGGTCGGACAGTCGAGGGAGAATCTCCGTCACGAGCTGACGCAGCACCTGCTGGTCTGCTCGCGCCGTCAGGAGAGACTTGTCGTAATAGTCTGTCGGGCAAATGCTCTCAACGATGCGCGCCAAAATCCAGAACGCATCCTCAGCCGAGGGAGTCACCAACAACAAGTTCGCCGTGATGAGGTTCATACCCTGACAGTAGCCAATATGAGGGTTGCGGCACGCGTAAGCGGTCAAAATATCATCTAGTCGCTGTACCCCGGGCGCTCCGTTGCGGAAAAACGTGTTGTGTGTCAGGGTCCTCGTCACGTCGGCCTTGATCTCCCTAACGACGTCATCGCCGAGTCCCTTGTCAGATCTTGCGACCAAATCTTGGTAGTAACCTGGCACCCGAAGGTGTGCCGCGCCTG